GTCTCAAAATGTGATTTACTTGACTAAAAGATACTAGTAAAATTTAGTATGTTTTGCATTAATGGAACTTTCTTTGTTATCACTGCAAGAGGGTATTAGCAACAGCCGAATTTAAAAACTTAGGCTACAGCTGTCATAATGGTGATGCAGAAGGTATATGAGCAGAGGATCGTTGCGGAGTTCCGTGCGACGACGTCGCCAGATGTGGAAAGTGTTCGACATTCCATGGCGTAGAATCACAATTTTCAGCAATATTTGGGTTTTGGGTTGAATTATTAGTTTTTTTATTCGGTCTCGAGACGAGTGTGTGAGGGCCGTAATTGGCAAGCTGACAAGCTGTTGTCATTAATATTTTTTGCATAATAATTGTATGTTATGCTCAGAAGTGCTATAAGGCAATACATTTTCTTCTGCAGTCATGAGTTCCGTTGACGAGGGATTGGAGAAGCCGTTGTGTTCTGGTCGTTTTAGAGTCAAATGTTCGATTCTAAGGCAAACTGTCACAGCAAACAAACTCAACAGACTGGTTTTTTCTAAGAATTTTATCTTGACATTAGGTGGTCGTGGAGATTTATGGTCATATTTCGTTCACTATCACAGCTTTTTTCATCTCAAATTTTGAGTTGAATTTTTACAAAATTTTGTTTTTGTATGTTTTTTTTCATGCCATCTAATTTTGGAGGTGTTCGTTGTTTATTACTGTTCTGATACTTTAAATGATCTAGTTTAGCACAATTTTTTTATGGATAACGAGTAGTTTTTTCCAATAATGGTAAAAATTATCAGTTAGTCAAGGTCTTATGGCGTATAGTTTACGTCGATTTGAACTTTCTGTTACTCTTAAAATCATTCATTGTGACGGGAGCACTTTCCTGCAAACATTTATTGATTGCATCTCATCTTATATTGATTATTCTTATATGAGTGTTACAGAGTTGCAGCTTTAGGGATCTTACAATCTGATTTTTGCCGTCATAATTTTAGTTCTTTTTTACGGATGTTGCATGTGGTTTTAAAATTCTACACGTGCCAACTTTGTAACTTGTAGAGGAGCGAAACGTGGGTGCAAGTAGCAGACGTGGTTGCGTGTACGGTTTGGGATTGTTGTCCTTTTGGGAGATTAAAATTGAGTGGAGAATATTAGAAGGTTATCATAATTGAAATAACACTTGTTTCTTTAGGTGTTGGGTGAATACTTCATATATTTTTCAGGAACTGTTGCAAAAAAAAAAAAAAAAAA